GTGTTCTATGGTAAATTTGATGTTGGGATGAATGGAATTTATGTGTTCAAAGAAAGTTAGTGTGTTCTGTAGAAATGAAACCAGCAAAAGTGTTATCTGTATCAGCATAGTGGGGGATGAAGCACAGAATGTATGGCTTGTGTTTCGATCTGGATCATAAATATATTGGCAAAAACAGGTGAAACAGGATTGCCCATATATAAACCATCTATTTGAAGGAAATGTTTGTTGTTGAAAATGTTTGTTGTTATAAATTCTATGAGAGAAGCAAAAAGTGTGCTAGGGATGCGGATTCACTTGTTAGGGTCATTAATGTAGAAAGTGAGTGCAATATTGCAAGTTTCATTGGCGGGGACTTTGGTGAAGAGTGACACGACATCAAAACTAGCCAATAAGGCTTTAGAATTTAGTTGGTCTTGTGTATATTTGAAATTGAAGGCATTTTTAAAAATTGAACCTGCAGATGTTACATATGGTGTGAGAGCCCAGGCTATGTATTTGCCAAGATTGTAGTTGAAGGGACAGTATGTAGACAGTATAGGTCATAAGGGGCAGTTCTGTTTTTGTGGTTTAGGAATGCCATAGAGTTGTGGTGTGCATGAATCAGTTTTACGTAGATAAAAATAAAGAACGTAAGTAATTAAATTATCTTTTTTCATTTGTAATAAATTTCTGTTTAGTTGGTTTTGTGTGTGTTTGTTGGGTTGCTTGGGATGGCTTTGAATTTCTTTTTATCGGAAAGGATCTCATTTATTTTGTCGATGTAATCGGAGTTGTTCATGATTACCATGGTGTTGCCTTTATCAGCTTTTAGAATTTTATGTTAGTGTCTTTTTTTCAGATTATAAATGGATTTCATCTCATTACTTGTGAGGTTACTTTTCAGTTTACGGGATTGGTTGACTATATTAATAGCCTCGTTCGAGAATTCTTTAAAACCGTCCCATGTTTTCCACCATTGCAACTCAAAAACCAAACATAAACGAAAAATCAAGGAATCCATCTTAATTGAACAAAACAAACCCTACTCTAAACCAACACCATGAGGTGCCAAGATATCTCTTCTAAGTGGTGCAACAGTATCCGGTCATGTGACCTTTGTTCCATTCTGTATGTATGTATATAT